TCCCCATTTGATAGTCACTTAATCAAATTACCTGAACAATTATACTTGCAATCTTATTGGCTGACCATAGTTTTGTCCCACCTCATGCCCACCTTTCGATTTCCCTTTCTGCCCCACCTTGGACCCGCCTCACCTGGTGGTCTACGCTCTACAAAATGTCTGGGAAAGGCAGGGTCCTTGGCAACCCACTCGGCCCCTTCTGCCCTCTCTTGGACAGAAGCTTTCTTTCTCTCAATAAATACATTCTGCTCTTAACCTCGTTTTTCCTAAAATTCATTCTTCAGTTTTAGAGGACAGGAACTCATCCCAAATATTTTTCAGATTGGGGATTTCCTTCCCCTGTATTACCACCTCTGCAACTTAATGCTCAGCATGTGAAATTGAAAAATAAATAGAAGTACAAACCACACATCAACAATAAAATGAAATAAAAATTACAAAGCCCTACTACAAAGCCATTAAGACTCAGAGCTTGTTGTTATCACGGAGCCAAACTGACCTCCACTTGGGCCCTTGACTCCCTGGACACTGTGCTGTCCATGACATAGGGATCTGCCTCACAGTGCAGCACGCACTCAGAGTCAGAATTCACCGTGAAGCTGACAGAAATCCCCACATTTCTCTTTACATAACATAGCCTGCCAAGAAAATTACTAGACATAAAGACTGTACTTTAAAAAAGCTTTTAAAAATTTTTAGGCAATTCAAGGTAAACATGAAAGTTATTCCTTAAAGGAAATTTAAAGAGATTCTCCATTTAACATAGTTTGATAAAATACAGGAAATGTGTTTATTAAATTTTTGCAGATACAGTTTGCTTTGGTGTAAGAAATGTTAGCAAATCCTAGTTTCTTCTGGGCCTCTGATACTTATTAAGTTAGCACATTCTGCTGTTTCTGTTCCAGAGTGAAATATCCCAGTATATAAAAACAGTAGAATTGCGGTGTACCTGATCAATTAGCACATATCTTTGACCAAGAAAAAGAACCCCTGGGTATCTTATTAAGTAGAATCATATCTGACAGGTAAATCGAAATCCCCATAAACTACATGAAGTAACATAGTGCTGTCTAAGTGTGCATACCCTATTTTTAATGTAATTTTTTTATCTTTCAGTAAAGACACTGATATCACTCTTAACAGTAACAAGAGGTAATACTAAATTTTAATTTCAGAATTAAGTACTACATTTTGTTTTTGTTATCCTTTGTCCTGTCTCTTAGGGAGAATTATAGACTGGGACATCGTATTTCATTGCATAGAAATAATGCAAGTAGAATAAAACTTGGCTCAAAATAATTTTAAATCTAACTCACTCTTCCAAAACTTTGTAGAGTTTCAAAATTTGGATCTAAATTCCTTTAAATTTGCTATTATGCAATTCTGGGGAAGTTGCTTATTTACGTTCTCAGTACCTTATTTTATTCTTCTGTAAGATCTGACTAATACAGTACCACTTCACTGCTAGAATCACTGTGAGGCCTGAATGCGACAACAGATGAGAAACATTTTTAAAAAGCATCAAAAATACATGTTAGTCTTACAGTTACAAAATAGTACCACAGATTCATCCTTAAAAGCTATTGCTTGAATTAATTTGTAGAGAAAATGCACCACTCAGTACTCATTAATCATTTGTCTGACATAGATCTAAAACTACAGAACGCATCCTCACATCTCTTGTTAAACAGAGAGGGCAACCTTGGCTGCCAAAAGTTAAACAGAATAATTTCATTCACTTTAGCTTAACTATTGAACCTTGCAAGTAACTGAAGGATGAGATATACATTACAAAATCCAAGGGAAAACAGTAAAATCATGAACTAAATTTGGTATGATTCTTTTTGAAAAGTCAAAAGCATCAGTGCCATATATATTTCAATAAGTATCATGTCCAAGTCTAACAAATGAGTGTGGCATCTTTAATTTTTTTTTTTTTTTTTTTTTTAAATAAAGTAGTAAAAAAATTGTGGTCCCCTGATAGATTTTCTGTATTCATGGCAACGGTACCATCCTGCCATCTAGTGGACATGATTTAAACTGCTGGGACAAATTTTGAAAATATATAACCAAGACCTCAAGCAAAAATGAAATCACTTTTTGCGTTTTGACATTTTGCATGTGGACCTGCAATGAACACTAACTTGGTGACATTACAAGCAAAACTATTTAAATTAAATGTAATAATAAAATGTTTGAGGTATAAAAGAATATGTACACTGGAAGGAAGAAAGCCTCTTTAATAAATGGTGCTGGAAAAAGAGGCTGTCTACAGGCCAAAGACTAAAACTAGACCCATGTCTATCACCACGCACCAAGCTAAAGTCAAAATGGATCAAAGATCTAAATATTAAAAACGAACACTAGGGGCTGGGGATTTAGCTCAGCGGCAAAAGCGCCTGCCTGGCAAGCGCAAGGTCTTGAGTTCGGTTCCCGGTACCGGAGAAAAACCAAAAAAAAAAAAAAAAAAAAAAAAACGAACACTAAATATACTGGAAGAGAAAGAAGGCATAGGGGTAAGGCAGAGAGTTCATGAACAAAAACCAAACTGCAGGGGAAATACTGCAAAGAATCAACAACTGGGACCTCACCTTATTGAAAAGTTTTTACATATCAAAAGAAATCACCAACAGTGTAGAAAGAAAACCCACAAATTGGGAAAAAATTTTAGCCACCCGTCCCTCAAAGGACTTCTATCTAGAACATATATAAGGAATTTAAAAAAAAAAAAAAATCAGGCCCCACAAATTCAAAGACCCAATCCAAAAGTGGGCATCTGAGATGAATACACACTTCTCTAATGAAGAAATACTAATGGCAAATAAATACATGAAAAAATGTTCAACATCATTAGTCATTTGAGAAATGCAAATTAAAACAACACTGAGATTCCATCTCATCCCAGAAAGAATGGCTATCATCAAGGAATCAACCAATAACAAATGCTGGTGAGGCTGTGGGAAGAAGGAACCCTACTCCACTGCCGGTGGGAGTGTGGACTGCTACAGTCACTGTGGAAATCTGTGTGGAGATTCCTCAAAAAACTAGGATTAGAGATCCCATTTGACCCAGTTATTCCCCTTCTGGGTGTTTTTCCAGAAGAAATGGAAGCATCATACCACAGGAATGTATGTGCACCCATGTTTATAGCAGTGCAATTTGTAATAGCTAAATTTTGGAAACAACCCAAATGCTCATCAACTGAGGAATGGATAAAAAAGTTGTGGTATATCTATGCAATGGAGTATTACTCAGCTATAAAGAAAGATAAATTCAAGGCTTTTATGGGTAAATGGATGCAACTAGAGACCATACTCATAAGCAAAATAAATCAGACTCACATGTGTAAACACCACATTGTCTCCCTAATATAAGAAGCTGAATGAGTAAATAAAATTCAAAAAGTACAATAGATACTGTGAAAGGGAAAGAAACTGCTCAAAAGGAAAAAAAAATTGGGATAAGGGAAAGGAGAAAAGAAAGGAAGGGGGAAAAATATACATATACACAAGACAGCTAAGATAACTGTACTACTAATTTCTATTGATCTATGGAAAGGAACAGTTAATGCTTAATTTTCTGATCAATTTGCATGCCAGTATCTGGTAATCTGAATAACTATTTTGAAGATAACAATATGCAATATAACAACCATTGTTGATTTCCTATTATCTTGTTCTGAAATTCTGTATGTTTTAATTTTTTATGTTTCATTCTATTTAAAATAATAAAAGTCTTCAATTTAAAAAAAAAAAGAATATGTAAAAAGTCCAATTGGGGGAAATTTGAATATACAGTATAAAACTACTAATATAAATACTCCTCTATAAAGAAGCAGTGAAAATTTTATGAAAGGAAATGTTTTGTAGTACTTATCCAATTTTTTAATGTTGTAATACTTGAAAATCTTTTAGAATATTTTCTCATGTGTAGAGAAAATCTTTTAAAATATTTCTCAACTGTAACGGTGATGCAGCATTTTCAATGTATGAAAGAACAAACAGGAAGATGAAATACTGTGTAACATCTTTGTACAAGTGCAGATGTCATCCCACAGCCTTTTCAGGTACTAAACAAGGAAGTAAGAAGCTCACAATCACATGTCAGTCTGTATTTCCTGATTTGCCCAAAACTAACAAATGGCAAAGCCAGAAAAATGGCTCAAACTCATTTCTGTATCTCACTGTTACCTCACTAATTTATTACCAGATGAGGGTGGCCTAATATTTTCATGTGAAACTTAATTTTCTAAAATACATGGTTTATGATTATTTTTCCCATGTATCACTGATAAGTAGGTAGGTAAAGTTATAGTATAAAAGGGTAAGAATGAAACACATTGCTGAAAAAGGACTCCTAACGGCAAGCTCATCATAATGTTCATGAGATCTGAGGGCTTGGGATCGCTGTGCACTCATTTCTTCCCACCTCCAGGGCCTCCACAGTGTAGGGAAGCTTCACATACATGTCTCTGGGGCACACTGGCCAGGACTGCAAGCTCGGCTCACACCTGGCCAGCCCGCGGGAATCTGCAGTCTCTGTGTGTTCACACTTCAGAGGGCATTCACAGCGGCCCCCAGTGCCACACCCAGTGTCACTCTGGATGATGGGGCACTGGGGGACCATGGAGAGGCCAGGAGTGGTCCTGGCAGAAGTGTGCCTCACAGAAGGGCATTTTTCAGAGTGAACACATGACATGCAATGAGAGTGTCCGAGGCATCTGCCCAGTCAGCATCGCTCTTACCTTGGCATGCTACAGGCTTGTCCTAAAATGGAGAAGCCACAGCAGCAAGGAAGACAGGGACCGAGGCAGCTCCTGCTGTGCCTGTTATCTGTCCTGTCCCGTAAGAATCTCAAGTGAGAAATTCGCCTCTCTGAGTTGGGACATCCACTGAGGACGCCAACTTCCCCTTCAAGTAACAGGTTCCTTTGGCAGGAGGCAGGAACACGCCAGATACGTGAGTGTATTTCACCACTTCAAAACGCACGTCAGTACTCACCAGACTGTTCATTTTTGAGGAGGAGGAACCTGCTCTCTGCTTTCTTAAGCTATTCACTTCTTCTACGTTTCCATCTTTGGGTTTCAAAACCAATCTGCTGCTCCCTGCAGTTCCCTCTGACGAAGACCTCAGTCGTCTCTCTATAAATCTTCCTTCGCGATACGGACTGAGGCTGCTGGCAAGAACTATTAAAAAATTAGAATTAATAGAAATAGTGAAGGGGAGTTTCAGAAATGTCCCATTCAAAAATAATGGCAAATGTAATGTCATTCAAAACCTCTCCATCACAGGGGAATCGCAATTCACAGTGGCAGGCGGTTTTGCTTCATTATGTAATCTCTTTGAAGCCAACAACTTTTGAAGTCTTCCTCAGAACAGATAGGAGTCAGAGAAACAAATCTCGTCCTTGTTCCTTCCAATTTTATGCAGGATCTGATCATTTCTCACCACCTCCTTCCCAGGTTCCTGGATCAATACTGCGCCGCTCTGCGAAACCCTTTCCCCTCTGCCCACTCACGCCTGTCTCTCTGCATCCCTACCTCACAAACCTTTCGCCTGGCGGCCAGGATGCTACAAGCAAGCAGGAGGGGGCGCCTCCGTTCCCATCACGGTGCTGCTGTCCTACAGCCAGCACTTTGGCGGAGGCCAGAGGTAACTGGCTTTCCAGATTCCTGTCTCACCTGTCTCACTCCTGTTCCGTCCACTCTTGCCCTTCATGCTGCCTAAGTCACAGCAGCTTCCTGCTGTTTCTGCTGCACTGAAAGCAGCCTAACCCCACATCCTGAGACCCAGGATCCCTGCCCTGAGACATGGTACCTTCAGGTACCTGCAGGGCTCACTCCCTAAGTTCCATATTCTATTGAGAACCACAGGGATATTCTCACAATTAAAGAATATTATACTGTCATCTTTTCACTATTGCCATTACTGGCTTATATGTCCAAGAACAGATGACACATTGCTAACTTACTGTACTGCATTAAATGGCTTAGAGTGGTCTCAGTCAACAGATTAATAATCACCATGATAACTGTTCAATAGTCCTCGTTTCCATTCAGTGCACAGTATTGAGTTAGACATCAGGGTAAGTCATCATGACAAAATAAGAATGGTGTATCAGGATCATGACATTTCTACCCTTTCTTGGGCCATTTCTTTCTTTTTCCTTTCTTTTCATTTGCACTAAAACAAGATTTTCATCCTTAACATATAGCACATGTGCCCATTTACCTCTAACAGTGGATACCTGTGTGTGATGTGCAATGATCCCATCAGAGGGTAACTGCATGCTATTTCTTCTTAAATGCACCTGGATGCTAATCTGAGGCCCAACATTTGCTAAGGGTGATCCCTTCCTCAGTGCTGATCCACACGTGTCCCTGCGTGAGCTGCAAGCTGGGCAGAGGATGACTTCTCCCAGCGCAACAAGGAAGATTTTTCTTCTGTACAGGACTGCCTTCCTCTGGTTGAGTTCTAGAGTAGCTGTGCTACACACCAGAACCGCCAAACCAACCCTGGGGTAGTTAAGCAGGCTTAACTTAACCTTAAAACATGGACAAGACTACCAAGTTCAAAAACACTGAAAAAAGTCGCCAGAGAAAAGTGATCCTGTGTCAAATATACAAAACATTTTAAGACAGCTATAAAACTAGTTCATTTATTTAGAATTTAAAGAGTGCTATGCTCATGGAAGGACTAATTAAATCATAAAGTTTCATGATTACTGATATCATAATTTATCATGTGACTTAAAGTTTATTATTTTAGGTCATAAACATAGTTGTTTAGAGTCTGAACTTTGGACTCAGAAAGTTACAACTTCACTGAGCTGGTAATCAGCTGTCTGGCCCCTTGATCCCAGTTTTTCTTTTGTAAAATAGGAAACACAAGTTTACCTCACAGGGTTTATATCCCACTGAGTCACTTATTAACTCTGTAACTTTGTGACTGAGGACATAGAAGTGATCTGTCTTCCAATTTTCTTGTCTACAAAATAGCTTGTAACAACACTAGCAAGTTCAATCATGTACTAATTAATGCATACAAAGTATGCAAACTAGCATCTGGGACATCTTTGACATTGAGAAAACTAGTAATAGTAGCAGCAGAAGGAAGAAAGCTAATAGAGGAAAAAAACCTATAAAAAGTAATGTTCACAAGTAGGTGGAATACACTGAACAGTTCTCGAACTGAATCTGATGTGCAATAACAGTCTTCTGGAACAAACTGAACTAATTCACATACAAACACTCTTGGTTTAAACCCAAGAAAATACGCTCCAGGTTGCACAGCCAGTTCAAGTTATGGGCTGGGTTGGATCCAGGCTGGGTCCTCGGACTCCAAGGTCCATATCTTTTTTTTTTTCCTGGTACTAGGGAGTGAACTAGGGCCTTCGCAATCAGTTACATCACTGGTACTTTTTTTTTCTTTTTTTGAGACAAGTTCTTTACAAATCAAATGAGGAATAAACGTGTTGATCCTCCTACCTCTGCCTCCCAAAGTGCCAGTGAGGTAGAAGGTAGCAAAAGAAAAATCTGGAGAAAAATGGGAGGGCCCATGTTGGAGCCCAGTTTCTGGGCTATACCTGAGGAACAAGATAACTAAGAAACAGCTCAGAAAGAAGGGACATTGCAGAGTTATGCCCGCTTTCTCAGACTAGATCCACCTCCTGAGTTAAACATTAGCCCAGGACCAGGGTGCCCAAGTCCACAAAGAATGGGGACGGTAAGCAGGTCACCTTTTTTATGTACAGCAGACCCTCAGGGATGTGCACAGTGGTCTTCTGTATCCCTCAGCAAACCTCGACCCTAAGTACCCAGGCACGGGCCATGCAGATCTGACAGCACCCCACTGAACCCTGCAGCCCGTCCTCAATCCTGCGGACTCCAGATGCCAGGACAGTTTGTCCAAAGGCCATAAAATGCCAAAAACTCTACTTCCTCACACAAGCCCAGTCAAGCCAATCACTGGCAGGAATCAGACCTCAAATCAACCCTTTAATCCCACCCCAAACTCCAAGGCTTAAAACTCTCAGGGTCAAGCTCCCTCAGGCTGTGAGCTATTCTCAATGGACAACTCTCACCCTGTGAAAGGGATCATTTCTTCTCTCTTTGCAATAAATCCATGATCTTGCAGCTACTTTTGGGGGTCCTGCTCAATTCTTTGTTTAGGACAGTAAGAGGCTGGGTAAGACTCCCAGTCTGCTAACACTAGGACGGTACTTTTAAAGGTTGCAATTCTTTTATATTTAGAGACTAGGTTAATTTGCACAAAACATGGATCCCAGTTAAGAGTGAAAGCTTTGTTAATACAGGAAATAGAGTTTAAACTATGCAAGTCTCTTTTGCAATAATTTTGGCTGGAATATATTCATTTTGTTAACCAGTGAATAGCAATACTTCTATAATGAAGAGCAAAAAAAGTAGTCTTTATTTTAGATAAAGCCATACTGCAAATAAAATTTGTTCTTTTCCATCTTCTTTTGAGATCAGAATCTGATTAACTCAATTAATAAAAATGAATTCTATTGCCTGATCATATTCAAGTACAATATAATTGGGGTAAGCTTAAAATCAAGCAGGGGAAATATTTAGAACAAATTATAAACATGGTCGATCACAGAGAGTGAAAAAGAATGCATGGTTTCCATTCATGAAACAGTAAAAGAATCAAATAAATTATAAAAAACATGAATACGCTTTGCATTACACAGAGAAAATCAGTATACCTTTGGCAGTATTTCCTTCATACCCATATGATGCTTTGTTAAAAAAATGGTGATCACCGGAAGAAGGTATTATCCTTGAATCTGAAACAGGGTGCATTCCTTTCACACGCTCAGCTATTGCTTTATGTGTCTCATACCAGCCAAGTTTCCTTGGGGAGCTTGTCCTCAGCATCGTGTCACCATTTTGCAATGCCGTGTTTTCCTCTTTCTGAGTATTTGTGGGCAGGGGAGTTTCTGGGCGGCTCACATTCCTAACAGGTAGCTCAGTGACTTGCAGTAACACTTCCTTCTGATGAGCAGCAGAGTTTTCCGGGAAGGAATTCAATTCCGCGCTACATCGACCTTCTAACCTGTGTTTCACAGGAGAAGGGACCGCACAGGGACCAGCACCCACAAGCTCCATTGTGGTTTTTGTGAGAGCAGCAGGATTGGGAGAGCACTGGGAGGTAGAATCACTGTGGCCAGAGCTGTCACAGTGGGATGCCAGACTTCCACTTTTAGGAAATGCATCTGCTTCAGACACAGAATCTTCAGTCAAGGCTAAAAATTCTGAAGGTGTCTGGGCTGTGGTGAGATCAGCAGAAAGTAAGGGAGACTGTAAGGAGCTTCCGGCCCGGTCAGTTGCCTCCACAGAACAAGGTGGAGAAGCTCTTACCAATACAGGTTCTCCCTCTTGGTCCTGTGCGATTTCCAGGGAGAGTTCAGACTGTTGTACCAAAGAAACGGATTGGCTCTGCGGAACTGGCTTAGGGAATTTATAGTGAGATGAAAAAGATTTCGGGAGTAGCTTCCTGGTTGACTGCTTAACAGAATGCCGCGTCTGTTCCTCTGTGAATCCAGAATCATCTGCCTCACTTTTGCCAGAGCTCAGACAATTGATAAAGACATTCTTATTAGTCGAGTGCTCCTTTTCCCTTTCAAAATCCTCCGTTAATGACCTTGTCATCTTCTTACTTCTTGAACTACTGAAACCCACAGAATGCCTTCCCCTGGTTTTAATATGTTCATCCAGAGTCAGTTTCTGCATGCTGCTGTGACCAGGCTGAGCACCATTTGAAATACTGAGGTTCTGGCTGGTAGGCTCCTGCTTGGCTTCACCTCCCTTCTTATGGTGGAAGCTGATGGAAGGAGCTCGGAATATGCTCCTGCGTTTCCCTGTACTACCTGAGCTCGAGTTAGTGCTGGAAGGAGAGGAACTGTGGACACCCACTGTGTTACTGGACGAGGGTGAGGAAGGAAGGGAGTCATGTCTTCTGCTAATACTTCTTCTAAATATTGGCAACCGAGAGACCAGCGTAGATCGTCTTGATCCTGAGTCCCCCATTGGGACTCCAACGCTTGTGAAGTGACAGCCAACTCAGCAGCCTGAGAAAAGTTAGAACAAAAAGAAGATGTCAAGAGAATTTAAGTAGAAGTCAGATCTGGAGAAACAAAATATTATTTTTCAAGACATAGCATAGGATGTGATTTATATGTAAACAATTAATAATAGAATTCTGATATTTAAGAATTGTTTTGAATTTGTAATTAAGGAAATGATGCAATTTATTTGCATAAAATCTTATAATGGTACAAAAATTTGCAGATAACAAAACAATTTTTATCCAAAAGGGTTAGATGGTGAGGTAGAAGATCATTACTGAGCACCAGGACTTAACTGCTCACAAATGATTCTATAATTTTGGTGAGTTGCTTGACCTTAACCTTTCATGTTTATCTACTGAGATATAGCAGGTATATAACAGCTACAATCATGGGAGACCAAAAGATGCAGACTTAAACCACAATGGTGTTGCCAGGCTCAAACAACTTTATTGAAAGAAAAGTCAACTGGGAAAATTCTCCTACTTCATAATTGATTTCAGAAGTTTAAAGATAATCAGACCTTTGGTACCAGGAACTAAGTCACAGAGAACATACAGTAGGGTTATAAACATGTTAAACTTAGGAGGGAGACATAGTATGAGTTGAAGACAAGACCTGAGTGAAAGTTAAGTCAAGTGGAAGTCCTGAGAGATGTGAAAATTCATATACAGAGAACCAGAAACCATTTATAAGCCCGATCATTACCAGGCATGAGGGTGTTCAAGTAGGAGGTGAACATGAGGAAGGTGGCAACTACAGTTCATCAATTTTGATGCACCAAGTACTTTTCCAAAGATTCTCTTTCACTGCTTGTAACTGCCGAAAGACGCAGTATTACTATGAACATCTTATAGTGGAAGCAAAGATAACTTGCCTAGTGACACCCAGCTAAGTGGTAGTAAAGCAGATTAAGAAATTAAGCCTTCCCCACTTCCAGACTGGCTCGTAGTTTGCATGGCACTCACTCGAGTGAAGAGCGAAGGCTGCTGCTTACAGAAAGCTCTGCCCCGCTTTCACTACAGGAATTCTGAATTGCACGGCCAACCTCACTATTCTGCTGGCTGCTACTGCCACTGACTTTCACAGTGCACCATCACTTGGTCCCTACCTTACTGTGCTTGTTTTTAAATTCCACTTAATGTCCCACCTGAAGTGCCTACTCCTGCTTTGTCCCTATGAATCAGAGTCAGTTTTATTTGGCTTCTTTTGACTGAATTTACCTGCTAGGCACTAACAAATACATAAAATTACAAACCCGCCATTTTATCATCCTTAGCGACATGAGAATTGGTCAAATATTTTCATTGCCTTGATGAAGCATGCAAGAAAATTAAGACTATTCTCCTTCAGATGCTTAAAACTATTACTATTTTGCTTCAAACAACATAAAGTCTGATAGATTTCCATTTTAAGGCTTTTATGGGCTCTTCATTGTAATCACTGAATTTTGGTTACTTTAATGGATTTTAATTTAAAAATAATAATTGAATATCTTTGTACAGTAAAGGGTTATACTTCATTATATGGTTTCTACTAAGGAATAATTAAATCAAACTAATTAATATATCTATCACCTCAAAGATTATCCTTTCCTTGTGGTGAACACATATATAATGTACTCAGCAGTTTTGAAGTACACAATACATTATTTTTGACTCTTCACAAATAATGCTGTCAAACAATCCAAAAAATACTCCCTCTGTGTAACTGAAACTTTGCAACCTTTGAACAGTATCTTCCCATCCCCCATGCCTCTTCTCTAAGTGTAATCTCTGGTAAGCACCATTCTACTACTTCTTCAAGTTGGTCTTTTCAGACTTCCACGTACATGTTGAACATGTACAGATCATCTAGTACTTTTCCCTCTCTTCTGGCTTATACCATTGAGCATAATATCCTCCAGGTTCATCTATACTGTTGTAATAGAATTTTTCTTTGTTCTGAAAGCAGAATGACTTTTATGTATGCATTCATCCTCTGGTGGATACTTCTGTTTGTTTCATATCTTGGCTATTGTGAACAGTGCTACCATGAACACAGAACTGAAGACATTTATTTAACGTATTGACGTCAGTTCTCTGAGATCAGTGGTGGTGAACCTTTGGCACACACGGCACAGAAGGCACATAGAAGCATCTGTCTCAGCATGTGAGCCACGCCGCCCAGTGTAGTCCCAGCAGCCGAGCATCAAATGATGGGGCACACAGGCAGTGTGGGCACGCAAATCTTTAGAAGGTTCACCATCACTTAAATATATGCCTGTATAGGGATTGCTGAATAGCATGGTATGTCAACTTTTACTTTTCTCAGGAACCTCCATACTGTTTTCCATAATACCTATACTAATCTACATTTCTGCCAACAATTTACAAAGGTTTCTTTATTCTCTGATGAATCTGATTTAAAACAAACCATATATGAATCACTCCCAAGATATTTTAGTGTTGTAATGCTGCTGCTAAAGAAAACTTAAAATATAAACAGAAGCAATTTACCTCTTGAAAACTGTATTTTTGCAAGTATCTTTTCTTCACAGTATTTGTTCCAAAATACTCAAAATGCATGAAACATTTTTCAAGATTTTGTTCCTAATGTTTCAACTAGTATCAACCTCAGCTGTGACTTTTTTCATTTATATGCAGCATTTATTTTTACTTAATGCCTACTGAAGAGTTTTTTCCTTTAGAACATTCCTTACCATAATGGGTTAGAGCTGGCTGTGAGTATGTGGACTTCAGGCATTAATGTCAAAATATTAACCATCTTTATTGAATTATCTCAAAATGTATGTATACTGAAAAGTTCTTGACTTTTCTTAGAATTTTTTGCATTTGAACTCGCATTAAAAGTAAACCAATGACTCAATTCCATGTCTATTTTGCAAGTATTCAAGTGTTCAAAATATTTAACTATGGAAATTTTTCAGAAAAAAATTTTCAATAATCATACCCCTATTAAACTATGAAAACAGTCATATTCCCCTTGGGTTCCAATTACACATTTAGGCTCCTGATATGCATTTGCTAATTTATTTACATAAAATCATCGCAGATTTCAAAAGATACATGCTCACTGAATGGGATGATCTGGAAGAGATCTAAAATCTATTGAAAATGAACATCATTTAGACTTTGCTTTGTCTTTTATGAACACTATCTCCTACTGAGAATGAATGAGTGACAGATAAAATAAGTGTAGGTCAGAATTATCCATGCTCTTGAGAAATGCTCTTTAGGTCCTGGGAGTTGTCTACATCTCCAGATTCAGTATTCCTCTGCTCGCTCATGAGCCACATTCCTTAACGACTCCCACTGCTGTTGACTTTCACCCACAGTGATGTGGGTGCTCCTGTTTGGATTGTCTTCCCTGCACTTCTCACACAGCAAAACTCCCAGTGGTACCACACTGCCCCCTGCAGGATGCCCTCTCTGACCCCCACACTATGCACATAGTACTCCCTGCTATGTATCCTCAGTTATACCTAGCATAGGAAGGCTCTGTTTATTTTTATCTTCAGCTTTTTAATGGTAAAAGCCACCTCTATCTGCTTTCATATTCTATTTCCTAATAAAATATAGCATTAGCGCCTCTGGAGTAAACATATTTCAGAAAATAAAGTTTTTACTTGAGCATATTGGGATTTCAAACATAAGTAAATAGACAGACTTTATACATACTGCCATGAATAAGTGTTGAAAATCCTGAGGTTAATTACAATGAATACAGTTCTGAGACAGTCAGAAGTTGGTCAAAAGCTTTTCAAGCTACAGAAATTCAATAGTCTGAAACTTTTTATTAAATACCTAAAAACAGGAAAAAATTAGGCTGAGCCAGTTGATTGAAACAATATGACATCATGTGAATTTCAATTACTCATGGGCACTAACATTATAATGTGCTAATTTCATTTATTAATAACTTCAAGTCCTTAGAAAATCTTGTATATTTCTTATTTTTTCATACTTCCAAATTGGATAAAGCATCTTTTCTCTATTCTGATACAATGTTTCTTGGTTCAGAAGCCATAGTTATACTAATCGTAGTAGGTCATTGACATACGTAGTTTGATCTGTACCTGTCCAGTGAGTAGGGATTCTGTTACCATAAACATTATTTCATTTTGAAAAACTAACTTACTACAAGACAGAAGTGTCTTGTAATCACATTTTAATTCTATAAAAATAAAACTAACTTGTGAAGAATACTACAACAGCTAACCCCATTAGGATCTTGATCTATGTGAAACTCCCAATGGGCACCTGATAATACAGTGTTGTTTGGTGTTTAACACCATGACTTAAAAAGTTTTCCCAGAAAGTATTTCATTCAGCTATCTACACAATACAAAAATATCATGCAATGTGGTAAAATAATTCTAACTAAAATTAGAGTCCACTTTCTTATGTGGTGTGGTTGAGAAACATATATTGTAATTAAGGGGGCAATACAGATCACAATGTTATCTAGTCCAAATCTGAGTAGAAGAAAAATATATTATGTAATTAAGACATCCTGAAAAAAGCATCATTTCTGCCATGATTCCAAATACATTAACAAAGGCATAGTAATACCTTTCAGGATTTCAGAGCTATATTGGGTCACAATATGCACAAAAGTGTTGTCTAGATATGCAGGTGAAAGAAATACACACACACATTCACTTTTTTCTTTCCCAAAATTTTTCAAGTATTTTTCTAGAATTTGCAGACATCTCTTTATTCACTACAAGTTCTAGCTGTTGTAGAGTCACTGGCTGTCACACAGCTGAGACAGTCCTAGGCACTGGTTGTCTCTCTCTCGATACTGGCATTTTCACAGCAAAAGCAGATACACAGAAAGTGCTTCTCACCCACACGCATCACGGATATTAACACTATGGTTTTTGAATACTAGATCTGCCATTATTAAGTAGCGTACACTACCCAAGCAGATTTGGGAGGCTGAAGCAGGACAATCACTTCAGTATAAAGAATTTGAAACCAGCCTGAGAAATGCAGATC